CACCACTTCCTCTGGAAGTGGTGGATGCAGGTACAGTTATGTTTAAAAGACATTTAGAGAACTGCATGATGAAGAAATGTCTGGAGGGGTATGGGCCAGGCGCAGGCAGATGGAACTAGTTTAGTTTGGGCTTATGATTGGCTTGGACTGAAAGGTCTGTTTCTGTGCTGTATGAATCTATGACTTTATGACTAAGTATTCTACCTCCAATAAATGAATGACATGAATGGTCGGTTCCTTCTCTACGGCTGTATCTTGAAAGAGGAAACCAAGTAGAATGCCTTTTGGTAGATGCTCTCCGTCTTGGTACCTTGTTTACCCACTTTGTCTTTGAACTTGTAAAACTTTATAAAACTGCCTGTTTGTTTTTATTCATTCATGGGATGAGAACAGCATTGGCTTGGCCAGCATTTGTTGTCCATCCCTAATTGCCCTTAAGAAGGTAGTGAGGCAGTACAGATGGATAAATACACCTACAGTGCTATTAGGGAGAGCGTTCTAGGACTGCGACCAAGTGGCAGTGATATATTTCCAAGTCGGGATGCTGCATGGGTTCAAGGGAACTTACATGTGGTAGTGTTCCCATGCATCTGCTGTTATTTTCCTTCTAGGTGGTAGAGGTCATGGGATTAGAAGCTGCTGTTGGAGAAACTTTGGTTAGATATTTCAATGCATTCCTGCAGATGGTACGCACTGTGCATCAGGTAGGCACATTGATAAGAAAGGAAGGGAGTTACATGTTGCAGAATTCCCAGTCTCTGATCTGCTCGTGTAGTCACAGTATTTATATGGCTGGTCCAATTCAGTCTCTAGTCAATAGTAACCCCAGACTGTTGATAGTTGGTAATTCAGTATGAGTTAATGGCATTAAATGTCAAGGGGCAGCGGTTAGATTCCCTTTTGTTGGAGTTGGTCATTGCCTGGCACTCTTATGACACAACTATTGCCACATATCCACCCAAGCCTAATGTTGTCCAGGATGCAGACTGCTTCATCTTCTGAGGAGTCATAAATGGTATTGACACAAGAATGGTCTGAAAATATTCCACTTCTTCATTGAACAGAGGCTCAAACATTCCCCATTCACCACCACCCATTTCTGCTTGGCTGAACTTTGTTCTCTCATTGAATAATAATAATAATAATTGTAAGGCATGGTAGCTCAGTGGTTAGCCCTGCTGCCTCACAGTACCAGGGACACGGGTTCAATTCCACTCTCGGGCAACTTTCTGTGTGGAGTTTGCACGTTCTCCCTGTGTCTGTGTGGATTTCCTCTGGGTGCTCCAGTTTCCTCCCACAGTCCAAAGATGTTAGGTTGGATTGGCTATGCTAAATTACCCATAGTGTTCAGGGGTGTGTAGATTAGGTGGGTTACAGGGGGATGGGTCTGGGTGGGATGCTGTGAGATTAGGTGTGGACTTGTGGGGCTGAAGGGCCTGTTTCCACACTGTAGGAATTTTATGATAATTTCTTCTTTAACTTCACTCTTTTCCTCCAAATAAAATGTGTTGCTTTGGGTCCTGGCTATGCCAGCATTTATGTAGGCAATGTTCAGAACGTTCCCTATTCCAGTCCCACTCCAGCCCCTCTTTCATCTCATTTTCCAGTATACTGATGTGCCATGTCCAGTTCCTACACTTCTACAGCTTTGCTATGAATTTCCACTCTTCTCTCACCTTCACAATTTACGTCTGTAACACTTCCCTTCTTTGACTTCTCTATCTCCATTTCTGGGAATGTGCTATAAACCAATATTCACTATAAGCCTGTGACTCCCACACTTGCCTTAGCTACGTTTTCTCATTCCCTGCTTCGAGTAAGAATACCAATTCTATTCTCCAGTTTGTCTTGTTGTAATTTTTCTAAAGACATTCTGTCCATGACAATAGTTCTGACGTGTCTTCCTTTCTCCCCCAAATGGGGATTCCTCCTCACTGTGGTTGATAGGTTCTTTCTCTAGAGCACCTTCCATGCAAGTGCATGAAGATTCAACATCTGACCTTTCATTTTCCCTTTCTGCACTGTCCAGGGCCTCGCTGTTAACACTCCTTCCAGATGAAATTGTGATTCACTTGCATTTTTTTCAATCTGGCCTACAATATTTGCTGCTCACAATGTGGTGTCCTCTACAGTAGAGAGACCAAATGCACTCTGAGTGACCATTCTGTGGAATGCCTCCCTCCGTTCATAAGAAAGAACCTTGTCGTTATAACCACGTTGCTCACACAGTGACTCCTCATTTTAACCTTGAGGAAGACCATCTGCAACGTGGCTCTGTGGAGCCCTTTGGACGCGATCTCAGACCACAGTGTCTGCACCACCGCCCCCCCACCCCGCCCGCTTTCACCATTATAGGTATCCCTTGTAATGATGACATCCTTTTTTGTTGTTTTCAGACAGCATGATACTTCACCCTCTCATTGACACCTCCTTTAGCCATATTCTTATCCTGGTCCATTGCTGGGTCTTTCTAGGAATAGAATCAACTTTGCACAGATAACACTAGACCCGAAGAGTTTTTCCACCACTTCCTGTTTCAGTTACCGGGCGGCATCAGCCAATGGAAATGATAGAGTGTGGTTTTACCTGGCAGAGTCGACCAATGGGAGTAACAGGGCGGCGTCCACCGAGTGATGTGGGTCAATGGAGGCAAGAGAGGCGGGGAACCCCCTGGAAGTAACAGCCAATGATAACGAGCGGCAGGAACTTATCTGTCAGCCTCAGCCAATGCAAACGATAAAGGCGGGATTTCCACGGCATGGTCAGCCAATGGAAATGATAGGGCGGGGCCCACCGGCAGTGTCAGCCAATGGGAGTGATAGGGGCGGGCGTTATCGGGTAGCGTCAGCCAATGGGGGTGACGAGACCGAGGTTACCCGGCGGTATCCGCCAATGGCAGCGGCTGATGTCCCGGGGCGGGGTCTACCCGGTGGCGGCAGCAGGGGCAGGGTCAAGATGGCGGCAGTGAGCGGCCTGTCAGGTCCTGAGTTGCTGGAGGATGCGGCCCACGCTCGGGCCTTACTCCGGGAGCTCAAATCCTTCTATGACGCCCGGCTGCTGGTGGATGTGACCTTGGAGGTGGAGAGCGGCAGCCGCTTCCTGTGTAACCGCAATGTCCTGGCCGCCGCCAGCCCGTATTTCAGGAGTATGTTCACGGGAGGCCTGTTCGAGAGTAAACAGCAGAGAATCACCATCCATGAGGTGGACTCGGACTCCATGGCCCTGATCATTGATTACTGCTACACGGGCCGGGTCACTGTCTCCGAGGCCAGCGTCCAGAAACTCTATGTCGCCGCCAATATGCTGCAGCTCGAGTATGTCCGGCAGGCGTGCGCCGCCTTCATGGCCCGGAGACTGGATCTGTACAACTGCACCGGCATCTTCAAGGTGAGGGGCGAAGGGGGATAACGGGGAGTGGCAAATGGGAGGGTGAGGAGTGGTTAGGGGAGGGGCGGTGGGGAGGGGTAAATGTGTTTAGGGGAAGGGGGTTCAGGGGTGGGGGAGAAATGGCAGGAGGTTGAAGAGAGATAACAAGGTGTAGAGCTGGATGAACACAGCAGGCCAAGCAGCATCAGAGGAGCAGGAAAGCTGACGTTTCGGGCCTAGACCCTTCTTCAGAAATCAGGGTGAAGAGGTTGGTTTGGCATATGATGTATTTGGTCTGGAAGTGTTTTGAGTCTGGTCGAGGCAGAGAACCTGGATAGTAGGGAGGAAACGATGGGGTAGAGACTTTAGATTGGGGCAGGAATGATCTGGGAGCCGACGCGTGAGGTAACATTTTACAGGTTGTTCAAATTAGGGCCCGTAATTATTAAATGATCATATGTTTTAACCCAACTAGAAGTCGTCAAAGCTCTCAACTTGAGTGGTGAAATAAGAGGAAGCTGGCTTAAGAGGGAGTAAAAGAATTTATTGATGGAGAGAGAGGAAGGTGGCAGATGTTTGTATCAGGAACAAAAACAGAAGTTGCTGGAAAACCTCAGCAGGTCTGGCAGCATCTGTGAAGAAAAATCAGAATTAACGTTTCGGGTCTGGTGACCCTTCCTCAGAACTGTATCAGTGAATTTTATTCCTTGCTGTTGTTTAAAATTAAAATAAACAAGCTTGATTCAGGATTTTTTATCATGTAATAAGTTGCTTAGGAGGAATGAGTGACTTTGGATCTCCGTGAGAGTTCTCAGCGACAGTTATCTAGTTTGCCTCAAATCTGTTGTAGACTAAATGATGGAAATTGTTTATGATTAAGTTAACAAATCTACAATAATGGGTGACTTTCAGAATGTTGGTAGAGAGAAACAGATGGATTGCAGAACTTTTTTCCACTGGAAACTCTTGTGCACTGAAATGAATGTACTTTTTAAACCTGTTATGGATTGTAATGCTTTTGTGTGTTTAAATCTTTTAGCCTGCTCAAGCTGTACTTGTTAAATTGGGGATCCATTTCTCCATTTACTGTTTACAAAGATGTTGACTGGCATTCCAACAGTCTATTCAGCCCTTGAGAATGCTGTGCTTTTGATAAGATAATGAGATACGATTGTGGCCTCAATTCTACTTTCCCGTCTTTGACTCCCTTCTCAATCAAGAATCTACCTACCTCCACCTTAAAATCACCAATGACCCTACCAACATACTCTCTGGGGAAGAGAATTTCACAGAATAATGCCCTTCCCAGAGAAAGGAAAGTTCTCTTTATTTCCATTTAATTTTTAAACTGTCCACTACTTCTAGTCTCTTCCGAAAAAGCAACATCCTTTCTGCACGCAACTTGTTCAGTCTTTCCTCATTAGATAATCACTTCATCCCAAGGTACCAGTCAAATGAACTTTCTCTGAACTCCTAATGCAGTCATGTCCTTCCTTAAACAAGATGTTACTGCAGCCAAGGTCTTAGCAGTATCCTGCACGACTGTAGCAAAATTTCCCTGTTTAAATATTCCATTTCCCTTGCAATAATGATACCAGTCTCTTTGCCTGCCTAATCACTTCCTGTATCTGCCCAATAATATTCTGTGATTTCATGTGCTGGGACATCCAGAACCCTCTACACTGAAGAATTCTGCCATCTTTCCATCAAATGACCAAGTCCACCATAAATTACTTGTTTCATTGTGAACACTTGCTGTTTCTGCACAAGTGACATACTTATGTAACGGCAGTGACCACATTTCAAAAAGTACTTGATTTAGGTTGTGTAAGTTATTTTTCACTCCAATTTTAAAACTGTCTATCTGTATGCTTCCTTACATGAGAAGTGCTTGTCAGACTCAACTATGCTATTGCCTTAGTTTGCAGATGCCTTTGATAATGTGGAACTGAAAGAGAAGGCACGTGTTTTCATTGCACGCAACTTGCAACATCTGTGCAGGACGGAGGAATTGTGTGAGCTTTCGCCTGAGCAGATAAAAGAAATCCTTAGTCTGGACACGCTGGATGTGGACAGCGAGAGCAAAGTGTGCAGGGCTGCAATTCAGTGGATTAAAGCAAATTTCAGTGAGGGTGCTGCACACGCATTGGATGTACTAAAGTGTGTCCGGTGGCATCATTTCACTGAGAAGGACAGAACGTACCTTGATGTTCTTAAATCTCAGCTGTTTGTCAAAAACAAGTCTCTTGGCTCCATCGTTGAAGACCTTTCTGCATGTCAGAGGGCTGATGTGCCTGCAACGCTACAAAATACTTCCAAGAGGATTGGATTCAATGCTAAGGAAATGGTTATATTCTTTGGCCATCGGAAGGAACCTTTCCTTTGTTATGATCCGTACTCTGGTGACATTTATACAATGGCTTCACCTTTGACTAGTCCTGCACTTACCAAGTCCATCAGTTCATTGGCTGTCTGTGTTTCACCAGACAACGATGTGTTTTTGGCAGCGCAGCCAACCAAGCAGCTTTGGGTGTACAATGCAGTTCAGAACAGCTGGCAACAACTGGCTGAGCGGCTGTTGGCGAGAGAGAAGATGGATGTTGCCTACCTGAATGGATATATTTATATCCTCGGTGGTCGTGATCCATCTACAGGCCTGAAAATTAAGGAGGTTGAGTGTTACAGTATTCAGAGAAACCAGTGGATATTTGTGACACCCCTGCCTCATGCATTGCATTTGTTCAAACTGATCACAGTCGGAGACTGTTTGTACGCTGTTAATAACAAGAGGATGTTGTGCTACGTGCCAGAAAGGAATCAGTGGCTGAACTGTGCCTCTCTCAAACGGAGTGAGTTTCAGGAAGCCTGCGTTTTCAATGATGAAATCTATTGCATTTGTGACATTCCGGTCATCAAGGTTTATAACCCCTCGAAGGGAGAATGGCGAAGGATTAGTGACATCCCGATTGACGCCAACATCCACAATTTTCGAATTGTGTGTCACGGGAACAAACTGCTTCTCATCACCACCACTGTTCCACAGTGGAAGAAGAACAGGGTGACGGTTCATCAGTACGATACAACTGAGGATCAGTGGGTCAATGTTGGTACCATGTTGGGATTGCTGCACTATGACAGTGACTTCATATGTCTTTCGGCGCGTCTGTATCCTTCGTGCTTGGAGCCGGGCCAAAGTTTCATTAGCGAGGAGGACGATGTGCGTAGTGAGTCGAGTGCAGACTGGGATTTCGAAGGCTCCAGTGATATTGACTCTGAGTCGGTGAGCTCGAGTTCATTTTCGGATGACGACTGGCAGCCACCAGAAGGTCTCCGAGTTGAAAGAATACAGCGAAATGGCCACTTGGCCCCAGCAGACAACAGAGCGTCTCATATCAATGGCCAATTAGGGAAATAACAAGCTCTGTCTTAAATGGCCATAGATGAGACAGATCAAAAGTCATAAAACTAGTATTTTTTTCTGATTGTTGCATATATGGTAGTTTTGGACAAAGACAGTTATATTTTGCGGTACATGTTAAAGTCTTTGGAGGAACTGAAAAAATAAAAATTGCTTTGAAATTATCTTTTCCCCCATTGGCAGATACACTACGGTTTCTTTTTTTCTGTTCTATCCTTCTTCAAGTAGGCCTCACTTTTTTTAAAGAAATGATTAGGGTAGCTTAAATAGATTCAGTATTCTTCTTAGTGACAATGGAGATCTGAGAGTTTGGTCTTTTAGCTGTTATCCTGCATACTGCTTCATGAAATCTGAAAAATCTTGTATAATAAATACACTCAGAAGGTATATTGTGGTTTGGATGTTGCTGAAGTGATGGTAATTAAATAGGCAGTTTCAACTGGCTGATTTGAAGAGACAGTGTGACATTGTTTTGCACTGGCCTACAGGAGCTACCAGCTCTGGCTTATTGAAGGGGAACTTTTTTTTTTGAGAGCACAAAGAAATCCAAAGTTTTATCCTGCAAGTTTCTTCTGGTTTACTTACCATCTATTAATGAGGTTAAGTAACTTGGCAGCTTCATGATATTGCAGATTGGAAGTAAGCAGACTTGACGGGTTGAGTAGTTGTGTTTCATATATCCTAGCATCAATGTGAATTCTTCTGTAAAACTGGTCGTTAAAACTTTAGTAATGTTCACATGCTTCAGAAATTTATCATTATTGAAAGTCTTTTCATTTATTTCTGTATAAATTTATCCATTTATTTTATTTTGCTTTACTGCAAGTAACAATGTAAATGATGACCAGTGATAATGGTGCTGTTTCTTTTGAGCCTGGCTGCATGAAGTACAACAAAGGTAAAGTTCTAAGTAAGGAAGTATGGAAAATAATGGCACAGGAGGCAGCCATTTAGCCTCTTGTGTCACTATTGGTTTATCACAAGGACACTTCAGAACTAATCCCACTGCTGACCCTCTCAGGTCTGCACTGAGGATACTCTGTCCTCTTGAGATGTCAGCCCTTTGATCTTTGAAGCTTTTCATGTGTAATTAATTTCTGCTAACCTGTCCCATAACTTGTGAAACTTTTAAAAATTTATGAAATTGATGGAAGCAGAACAAAGAACAGTGATGTCTTTTGCTAGACATCTTTTTAAAATGGTTTCAAACTCTTTTGGCTTTCTGGGTGACATTCTCTGAGGCTGGTCACCAAGAGTGTGGGTTTCTCCAGTATGTGCCATTGAAAAACGCTTCAAAAATTGTGTGGGATTGAAACTGAATTGATACCTCCCTTCTTTTGAATAAAAGAACTGACGAGGCCAAGTCCATGCTTTAAAAAGAAAATTGAATTCTATGGTAATTTGAATTAAATAGTTGAATCAATTGATTGACCTGTTGATTTTTGTTTTTGTCATTTATTCTCATCCTAATCTTGGCATGTGGGTCTTGGCATGTAGAAATGCCAGCATTTGTTAGCTGTCCCTGATTGACCAAGCCATTCAGTTCAAGGCAATCACTACAGAGGGCTATTAAAAGTCAACCACATTGCTGGAGTTAGATGTAGGCCAGGCCTGGACATGATGGTAGATTTCCTTCCCTACTTTCAGCTGTCATGGTGAGATTTAACCTGACGTCCCCAGAACATTAGCCTTGGCGTCTAGTTTATCAGTCCAGTGCCAACACTAAAACTTTCATCACTCCTCTGCTACACCTTGAGATATTCAAATTTGAACAAATCGAATACATGATGTTTCAAACTGACTTTTTAAACATTTTTATTGTTTACTGTAATAGTTAACAAAAGGAATTTTTCTGGATGTTTAGAAATGCAGGTTTATGGCCCAACATAAACTATTAAACAGAAATATTGAACTATTTGATTTTAAAGTAATTTTACATTTATTTACCTGAACAGTACATGGAAGCAGAAGACATGATGTCTTTGTGTAGCTGTGATCCTATCGGTCAGCATTTTGGACAACTGGGTTTAAAAGAAAGCATTTTTGCCTATTGATTATCAGTAAATAAACTAGACTTAGTGAACTAATTTAAAGCCTGTTTCCTGAAACCATTCTCCCTCGCTCCAAGATAGAAAAAATCCTCACTAGCCTTCATAGGTTTCAGTGGGGAGTTAAATAATTTGAGTGCAAATATACATTAATAGAAATCGGCAGTAATACAGAATGTGCAGTTTGTTTAAAGTACAGTTTAGGGAGCAAATGTTCTGTAAGGCATGCCACAACATTTTATATTCTGTAAAATGGCTTATGTGATAGACAGCTAACCCACACTCATAGATAATTTTGCTTATCTGTAATATTATTTTAATAAACACTATCTTTTGCGTTTGTCCAAGTATTGAAATTCTTTACTTGGAACTTTCTCAGTATTAAACTGTTTGTATTTTAAATGGGCATTGCTGCTTTTAATGTTTGCAATATACAGTTGTATTATTTACATACAATAATACTATCCATATGTATGGTTGTAAAATTGATGAAATTGATGAACTGCCTTCCAGCCCCAAATTCTCCGCAGTTTACTCTGTGTGTGAGTGTGGCGGTAGCAATAGATTGGTTCGTTATCTAGTTCTAAAGCTATTATATTTATCTCATTCATGGTGTGACAGCTAGCTACTGGCCTGAGGGCATGCAATTCGGTTCAAAAGTTAATTAATGCTGGCTTTTGGTGGGATTAAGGAAAAGCTGCAGTTTGAAAATAAGATTTGATTGTGTTGGTTTGAATGCACTTATGATTAGTTGACTGGTTAAACGTGGTTGTAGCAAGAAAATGGCCAACAGTGGCACGTTTAATGGAAGCTTTTAAAATAGCAAGCGTTCTTTATCAAGCCTTGCAAATTGCCTTCCTTTTCCAGCAATTGTTTTTCTACACCTTGTCATGTATCCTATGACAATGCCATTTAGTAGCTTATTTGTCATAAAAGCTATCATAATTTCCCCACTACTACTAACCTCATCAGTATTGATACAGCACCTTGCGTCAACATGGTAAAATACTCAAAAGTCTATTCTTTCAATTGAAAAACCTAGGTATCAGCCCTAAGCCATAATGAAGGTTTGAAAAGATGAAATAACAATGATTTATTACTGTCACGTGTACTGAGGTACAGTGAAAAGTGTTGTCTTGTGTGTTTTTACAGGCAAATCATACTGCAAAAGTGCTTCAGGGTAACAGAACAGAGTGCAGGATACAGTGTTACAGCTACCAAGAAGTTGATCTCTCTACACCATTAAATTTTAAAGAGGTCCATTCAAAAGTCGGGTAGAAGCTGCTCTTGAATCTGTTTGTGCATGTATTTAAACTTTTATATCTTCTGCCCGATGGAAGAGGTGTTTGATTCAAATGGGTCTGAATGAAGTTGGGATTCTAGGGATGGCAAGAATGAGGAGAGATTGAGTCAGTTAGGATTGTGTTGAATGGGGTAGGGGGAGGAATTTCATGGAAACCTATAAAATTCTAACAGGGCTAGACAGGTTAGATGCAGAAAGGATGTTCCCACTGGTGAGGGAGTCCAGTACGAGGGGTCACAGTTTGAAGGTAAGGACTTTTAGGACTGTGATGAGGAAGAATCTCTTCACCCAGAGAATAGTGAGCCTGTGGAATTCACTGTCACAAAGGAGTTGAGGCCAAACAACAGTGTGTGTTTTCAAGAAAGAGGTTGATATAACTGTTGTGGCTAAAGGGATCAAGGAATGTTGGGGGACGGCAGGATTAAGGTATTGTGCGCGATTGGCAGAGCAGGCTTGATTTGACCCCTCAACTACTCCTGCTCCTATCTTCGATGTTCCAATTCGTACATTCAATATAATGTAGTAGAATAGGAGAACATTGCTGGCTGTTTTGAAGAGCTAGCCAATTAGCTCCCTTTCTCTGCAAAATCTTTCTCCTTCAATCCCTTAATCCAGTCCCTTTTTGTTGAAGTCTACTATTTCATTGCATATCAAAAGATGATGTCCAAGCCCACAGGATGCTTTTCTACTGTTTGAGATGGTAAGGCATTTAAAACTGCTTGAATAATTACACACTTTTTTAGGTCTTAAATTATGCTCTAGCTGCAATGTTCTGTGTCACTTTTGAAAATACAGTATTTCTAACTTTTACACTGACCCAGAACTTTGTATAAATGTCACTGAAGTACTCCTTACTGCATCCTTCCCAGTAAACTGTTAGTTTCTTTCACAGGGTCAAAGAAACTGGGGTACTGCAAATGGATTTGCTTTCTAGTTTTGATTGATTCAACTAAGTGACAGTATCCACAATTTACAACTCAACGTAGCCAGAACTTGAATCTTAATATGAAGAGGCTGCTTAGAGAAAATCATACATTAGTTTGCACTTTATTTCTTTCAAATATTCATTCTACAATTATTTTAGCTTTACTTCCCTTCACTAATTCATCTATTTCTGGTTTCTATAAGTTCCAGAACAGCTTCATTTTCTGCTGACTCCAGAAGCTTATTAATCAGTTCATTCAGCTGTCTCCCACCACTCAGAAGCTCCTAGAACAGAACAGAAGTGTAAGCTGAAGTATATGTTGCTATTTCAAATAATTGAAAACTGGCTGACAAGCCCATGTGTTAAATGCTACTGATCATTCATTACAATGGTTTATGGATCTCCACCAAACAACAACACAAAGTCCACAAAGTCTACAAAGTCTGGAAGTAAAGGCTGAGCGTTATGTGGCTATAGGCAGAATTTATGGTTCTGAAAGTCCAAAAGAATGATCAAGCTCAAACAACACCTTTTGAACCGAGGAAAGAAGGCATTTGAAATGAAAGGACTCATATTACATTTGTTATGGATAGTCAAGTAAATACACAAAGCTGGTGATAAGAGGAACTTATTTGAGGCAGTGATATCAGGAAAGCTCAAATATTTTGGACGTACAACTTGAACAGGAGGAGAATGTTTGGAAGAAGAGGCTCTGTAAGACAAAACACTGGAGAATGCGCACAATGAAGACCAGAGATGACATGAATGAACACTATTAAAACATGGACAGGCAATGAGGATAGCAAAGAATTAAACTCTAGGGAAACAATGTTCATAGCATCACCAACTCTCAAAGATGATGAAAGACAGGATGAGACTGGAAATCAG